CCTCCCTCCCTCCCTCCCTCCCATTCCATCTCAAGGAGCCTCCAGTCTGATGTAAACTATTGTAATATATCTGCTCAGGCTAGCAAAACTGTAAAAGAGATCCAACCTTTTTTTGTTTTGTTTTTTAAGAGTTTATGTATTAAGTTTGTAAAAGATCTGCAACTCTGGACCCTTGTTTGAGTACACATGTATCCAGATGCTGCAGTTCTATACACATGTTTCAAGAAGTATGCTGCACTTAATTTAGAATCTTTAAAAATAGACCTCTATGAAATTTTGCAGCAGAGAAAATAATGTAATTATAAGACAGTTGGCATTGATTTGCATTAGATACAGTTAAAAGGTTATTTTATAATGAAGGTAACAAACAACTGATTTTTTAATCAGTGCTATTTCGCCAAAAACTTATTTAATATATCAGAGGCTTAAAGCTATGCGTTCCTTCGCTCATAAAAAACTGACTTACAGAAATATAGTCCAGCTTTGCGTGTTTCAAATTTGATTCCAAAAAGGTGCTTTGAAGCATGAACATTATCCTGTTTGCAAGGTTTGAAACTTACCTGACATTATAAAACAAGCCATAACTTAGCATGATTATATAAATAAGGATATGTACCATGCCCTCCATCCAGGAATTCTGTGATATACATGGCACTGCAGGGGGACCAAGGCAAAGTCTTGTTTAAATGAATAAACAATGGAGCCATCATGTGATGTTTTCCTAGTGTCCCAAAGAGCCTCTCACAGCTCTTGGAGTCATCATGGGGCATGCTGAGCACGTGCCCTGAAAAGGAAGAGAAATGGGTGGTTTCTGATTCAAATACAGTAATGTACAATGTCTTAAACTAGTTCTTCCATGCAAGAATGGGCACCAGAAACATGCAGTCACTTCCTTCTGGCAGCAAAATGCCATTATAATAAAAACTAAGAGTTTTATATTTATATTGGTTTTGAAAGCTACACGCAGCTGCTTTCCCAGAAAATTGTAAATCATGATGCTGGAGCTACAACACATATATTCTTCTTGGAAAGATATAACTATTACTATGCAGCCACATCTGATTTTTTAATATATGTATTGACACCCAGACACAAGGTTTTAGGTTATTTTGGAATGGTGGCCCCAGGTTCTTCATTTTTTTTTTGCACCTTTTGTCTTGGAAGGCTATTTAATCTATCATCCTTTGTTTATGGGCCAATCTTGAGAATGCAACCTACGATATGTAGGGATAACTTTCCTACAAGGCAGATGTGGATTCTGGTACAATGATGGACTACCCATCAACATAGGCATGGCAGCTACCTAGTTCATGGGCCAAGGTGTATGCTGCCTGGAGACCTTCATCTTCTATCACAGAACAGCTTTTGTTTGGGTCACACATAGTGCCAGTCTCAGCCACTCCAAGGGTCCTGCAGGTTTGATGACCACAGAAATCCTGTGATTGAGAAAGGTAAGATGGAAACTACATGAATGTTGAGTTTTATAGGAATGGTTTTCCATTCTTCCACCAGTTCATCTTCAAAATGCCTCTCAGAACAAATCAGCCCATGTGCATCTATATACCTGTCTCGTCAGCAGGATTGCAGTGTCATAGTGTTCTGGATGACGGTCACTCGGAGGGTTGAAGAATTGTTGCCAGTTACAGAAGTTCCGCAGCATCAGGCCTCCATTGTCAGACACCTCTGGTCCATCCTTTTTATTTTCCACCACCAATACCTTCACCACCACGAGGTTGATAGAATTCTTCAGGCTGGGGTGTTTGTAGATTTGAGCAGCTACAGACATTAAGGTGAGGATATGATTCTGAAAAACCCAACAGAGGCAGGGAATAAACCAAGAGGTATTTCCAACAAATAAAATTATAATGTTATGATTTCCTTCAAGAATGTTTACATTGGAATTTCTTTTGTACTGTATGGGAGGTATTGCAGTGCTTAGAAATCATGTGACAAGCAATACAGCAGAGTATCTGCTCTGTGTAGAACTTTTGCTCATGGCAAACATCTCATAATTGTGGGAAAAGTAGGAGGTGATAAAAGCCACATTTTTTGTTGCTGGTTCTGATTGCCTCAATGTTTGTTTTCAGTCCAATTTGCTGTGAACACAGAGAAATTTAAGTTGTTCTTTCTTCGTAAGAAAACAAATCTATACTTTCATAACCACCGAAACTGCAAACAAAACAGAGGTGGAACTTCTATCTCTCATTGCCTTCTTGGCCCTTTGCCTGTTCTCTAAATAATTTCATAAGACAATCATCATTTAATTAATGTTATAATCCCTAAATCAGTTTCACTACACTGAGAGAGAACTCCCTAGCTTTATTTCTCAGGCTATAAGTAGTGTAACTACCCCCCCCCCCCCGTCCCCATGCCACCAACATCCCACAAGCAAAGCTGTTTGTATTGTAGCTTGGAAACATATTATATAGCACCAAGCCCAGCCAGAATTGATTGAGGGAACAATCATAAAAACAATCAAAATAAATAATGTAAGGAAATTGGGCTCATGTGTTCTCCGAGTGAAGCAAATGTCACACTGACCTGCCCATATTTTGTTTTGTTTTAATAACTCTTTTGCAGTCCCTTAGAATATAAAATGCATTATGAAATACAATCCTGTTTCCAAAGTGTTTGTGTTCAGTTTCACCTCCATTCTTGCTGAGAGCTGGCCAATTTAAAATTCTTAATCATGCACACATACTGTTACAGAAATTGGCCCTCTATTAATAACCTAATAGTCCTTGGTCCGAAGGAATAAATCCTGGATACTGTAGGCTTCCATAGAGCAGATCTCCCAAATCAAATCAGCAACAGACTTCGGACAGCTCATTTCTAAGGATCACAGCAAAGTATCTTATCGAGAACACTATAAAAAGTACTGCATCGAGCACAATGTGTGGGAGGAACACGGCCTGAGGTATTTGTGAATGGAACAGTTCTGTCCAGAACATTTGCGTGAATTCTCAAGGGTTTACACCCCAGATCCTTTTGATTGGGTGAAGAAGATGGAAGTGAGATGACTTCATATGTCAGACACTTCAACTATGTATAAGGCTGATGTGAACATCTTATCAGTGAGTCAGAATTCCAGCTTGTTTTGGCACTGGCTCATGGAACCATGTTCATGAGACAAAAATGCAGTTGGTTACACAACAGATAAAAGTATTGAGAAATAGCAAACAACCACTTTATTGTCAGGCAGTTTGCGTTGTGATTTTTGTGCCTCTGACACTTCATCATTTTTTAATTAAGCTGCACAGGTGAGATTTAAGAGCAGCCATAAAAACCATCTTCTCTGCTATCTGGTTTAACCCTTACCCCATGCCTATGAAAGCCAAACAGCCCATCCAGCAGAGTATGATTAACCAAGCAGTTTAATTGCTTTCTTGTTCTAGAATGGCCAGTACTCTCTGTCAGCTGAAAATGGGTTGTAATGATATATAGGCCAAAAATAAATGCATCACTGTGCTGAGCCCCACAAAATAAGTGAATATTCTGGTCAGGTGATAAGCAGATAGTCTTGTGGTCTGAAAATGAAAAAGACAATGCACTTCCTTCATTGACAACTACCCAAACTGAAGGAAAGCAGCAAAAGTAGGAACTTTATACCAGTCAGTAGCAGCTGATTGGTCCTTGGATATCACCTGACTGGCCAGAAAGATTATGGACTGAATAGTTGTTGTCCTCTCCTGTATCCAAGAGCCATAGGGATGCATAATGGACCTGGAGACTGAGCCATAGCTCCTGGAGAATTCAAAGAAGTGAGGCTTTGATTCAAGTCCAGCTTGTACAAGACCTGCTTGTAATGTTATTAGCATGTAACATTGCGTTCTAATAATTCTTGGTAGATGTCACCAAGAACCCAAACCACATGGAATCTTTTAACTGAGAGAAGATTGAGAGAGAGAGAGAGAGAGAGAGAGAGAGAGAACATGCATGCCTGGTATATGTTTGGGGGAAGAAAAAAAATAGATCCAAACCAGATGGCTCTTGGTGCTTCACACAAACAGCTAAATTTAGCACCTTTACCCAAAGAAAGACTCTTTTGGGACCAATTTTGAGAACAAGTATGGCTCTCATTAAAATGATGAGCATGATCAATCATAAACTGCCCAATTATTAGATGGCAAACTCATAAAGTTACTTCCCGTCACATGTTTTAGCTTTCCTGGAATGCTAAACTCACCACAGTGTTTTTTTGAAGGCAGGGAGACTACCTTCCGATCATTTTCTGTGAATGCCTGTGAAGTTTATGTGGAAGCTTCCTGGAAAATAAAGCTGATTCTAGAAGTTGACACTTTCCATCACATTAGATTTCTGTTAATTTTATTATTAATGGTAAGAATTTCAGGAAAAGTCTTTTAGCTAGGTAAGGCAGTCAGCCTGCTAGGCACCAAGGGAAGCGTCCACAGTCTATGCAGTCACTACCCAATATACCGTACATCTGACTTGCATAGTTTGATTGTCAAACGACAGCAAGCTAGCTTCCCAAACACTGTATTTCCATGACTCACCCATGGTTAACACCATTTTCTAGGTTTGCACAATACACTGAGCCACAAACTGCCATGGGTTCATGCAACATAGTTTGCTAAAATGTGGTTGGCCAGGTTGTGGTTTAGCCACTATATGAAGAAATCCTGAGATAAAGGACTGAAACACTTCTTCAGAGAAAGGGTAAGAGTCTTCACAGGTCAACAGAGTGGCTATTCTGTCTCCTTTTCTCTTTGACCAAAACCTCTACCTAGCCTAGCAGAAGGAAGCCAAGTCACAAAGCTGACCTTCTTTTCTCACTGAAAAGGAAGGTGATCTTTTTTTTGTTTTTTTCCATTTCCTGATCTCCTTTTCTGACTGGAAATGCTCTAACTTCTCGTCCCTTTCTGCTGCTATAAATGAAATGGAAGAAGATGGAAAGGAGGCCTGGAAAGAAACAAGCCTCTACTTAAAGAAGGTTGAGAACCCAGCCTTGTTTGGGGGCCCATCTGATATCTGCCTATGCTCCTTTTTTCTGCTCTTTTGCCAGGCAAACAAAAAACTTAATCTGACCTCACAATGAGAAAACCTGGTTTGCTCTGGAGTAAACAATGCTACTTGGAAAAGAAGCTGTTTGACCAGCAATGGCATGAAAATCCTTGGTGGA